CCACCTGACCACTAACAACAACGGTCATGATCGCAACAAAACTAGTGCATCACTTGCCGTCAACCTTTAACTCATCTCCGCGTGGGGTTCTACCAATCGTGCTTGTTTCATTTAATCTCTCATCAGTATGTCTGTTATCCTCTCCGACTGTTTCAAATTCGCCACTCTTCGTTCCACAGACCTCGTCCCTCCTAGAGTTATCTATATATCATTCTCTGATGGTGTCGATTCGCATCGACGGTTGCCTACCGCGGTGCTCGCAAATTCGGTGTAAAATTCCACATCAGACGCTTCCTTACACTCATTCACATCTCCCTTTTCATACGAATCTCAAATTTACCCAAGGCTCGAATGCTGCAGTCAGGTGTGGAGTGAGACTTCGTATTTTCCTCTTTCTCGTCCTGTTCGAGTTCAGCCATTCGGCTGACCAACGGTCCATTTTAAACCTCAAATCGGCAGTCGCTTTCCCACCGCTAGGCAATGACTTCGTTATTTCCTTCCTAACGTTACTATTGTGATTTCTGCTCTTCTGAACTCGCGGCAACAGGCCCCTTGCCCTTTTATCATTCACTTCCATTTCAGGCGATCAGCTACTCATGTCAGTTTTCTGTCACCAGATATAGGAATTCTATCTTCCAGTCGTCTTTCCTCAAGGCTGCGAAGCTGTAGAACAATCCTCCCATTTCTGTATTTCCAACCACCTTAAATCTTTCTCCGTTCAAAAGCAGGTGGTGCTGGCGCAGTAGTTTAGTCGCGGTCACCGGTATGCTTTGAACCCTGTAGTTCGAGGTTCGAGCCCCGCCACCGCCACCAAACTTTGGCGGTTCAATACCATGCTTGACCTAGCGGGGTCTTATGTAGTTTGCCGCTCCAAGTCCCGGGACTTCGGTTGCCATCACTGAATAGCAGGTCCATCACGTATGCTGTTCATCACACTGGTGTGTAATAAGAAATGAAGCAGCAAACTGGTTCTTAACCGGATGTCCCCTGTTTACCATATCCTTAGCAGTGGGTATTTGATTATGGATTTTACCGCTTTTGCCGTAAATCATTTCGTGTTATAAACAAAACAACACCGGAGGTCAGTGCACCTCAGTTAGTGAAACAATCGGAGATAAAACTGGACAAGCTATTCACAATAAGGAGCGATGGTTTCATCGCTGGGTAGAGTACTTGGTCGAATAATACCTCCCTCCTACAGGGTAAGATAAAATAGCACCGGGACCGAATATTAGTTGTTTTGGTGGATATTTATCTCAAGTTTTGGAAATTTTTATCTCGTTGATGCGTGTACTTTATAGAAGAACGAGTAATTTGAGAAAAATATCACATCATAATATGATGGAAAAAAAAGAATTAGGAAACTGGAACTACCTCTGCCAATCCCTATTACGTCCGGAAAAAACAAGACCGAGGCGTGTAGAAGTGGTCAAGAGGGTGAGCATTTGGTGCAACTTCTGACGAATGCAATCCAGTTGATCAGTATCTACATCCCCGTCATCACGTCCAGCTAAATCTTGAAGCGTTAGAGCCTCGCCGCGCCATGTGTACAAATACAGTAGTTGCTTCAAGCTGTTCCGGTCGAACAACCGCACTTTTTGTGTCTTGCTGATGGTTCTGTTTTCTACTATCTGATTAGGATGTAAACGTAAATCGATTTTGTCCAATCCGGTTGAATTACCTTAGATAGCATTTCCAAAATGAGCATCACATTTGCGTATTTATCAATATAAGATTCGTTAATCGCAAGATTGAAAGGAGCTAGAACAGATAAATCAGTTATTCTGGACAATTTACTTCTTTTCTCGATCGCTTCTCGAACCACCAGATCATTCCCAGAGAACACGAAGGCGGCAATCAAATTTAGAAAACACGAACGCACATCCTGTGAGTCCGTGGTGTTCCGCCTGCGTGAGCACTGGATCATCTCTTGGCCCGAGAATGGTAGAGCACGCAATAAACCACGAGCAAGATTGGTATTCAGAGTGGCAATAACGGCGAGCAGGCGCAAGACTGCTTTATTGGTCTCAGCACCTTGATTGTGTCGCAATCCACGGATGCAACTGGCAAAACGGAGATCTTCTAACACACCCTCAGCGAGTCCATGGACAACTGCGGTCAGTTCATCCCATTTCTCCCTCGAGCCGATGAGAATGATCATATACAGAGCTTTAAAAACTGTGGTTAACTAACAGTACAATTATTATTGTGTTTTGTGTCCTCAACTCACCTCGGACGACTTGCGGGCAGCACCGGAATCAAGATAGGTTAAAATTCCGAGAATGTTTGTGCTAGATAAAGCACTTTGAACATAATCATCCTCCAGATCGCCAGCCTCCAAAAGCTGGACGAATTTATCAAGCACTTGAGAAGAATAGGTCTCGGATAAAGCAATTATGTACCTGTCAGGTCGGAACTTAAAAGCTCGACATCAATAAGTTTCGGGCGCTTGGAAATACTCCTTTCGTTCCCTTCCGATGAGCGTTTAAGAGGCATGATTTCCGTCGAACAAAATCCAGCTTGAAACGGTGAACGGCAAAACAGAGCATTGGTTACGACAATACTAGGTAGGTACCTGTGTTGTCGTTCAGTTAACTACTACACAACCTATTGGGCCCTGGGTGTTTCGCGACAACAAGTCCCGGAACTTAAGTTG